TCGGAACCAATCAGATTGCAGGATTTGTAGAATACCGCCCGCTCACGAACTGAGAAAAAAATAAAATAGATTATGAGCCGAACTGTGAATTAAGCTTTCTCAAAATTTTGTTGAATGTTACAATCAATTTCTCGGAAAGTACAGACAAAGGGCCACTATATTTTAGGATTGACAGGTTTTCCGCTTATAAAACGTTGTTTGAGTAGGAAAGTTTCCCTGGCTGTCCTTAGGTCTCGATCTGTGCGTTTCTGTGCGTTTCTCGATCTGTGTCGATTAAGGCTTTCATTCTGTTGGTCGAGATAAACTTACTTAAAATTAAAGTACTTTGCATAGCAAAAGAGGCGATGTATAGCCTCTGGTGAAAGTGAATATTGTCATTCATCCAGGTTCAATTCAAATGAGGAATTTATTAATCTTTTCCTGGAATTTTGGTCTTAATTATTAACAGACGTTAGATTTACTTGAGATCACCCGTCCACGACATCAAACCATGCTTCACTGACGTAAAACCAATCTCTACGACGCAAGGATTTTAATATTTTCAATAAATGACCTCTATAACTTGGTAAAAAGGATGGTCCTCAGAAAATACGTTCAGCGAGTAGTGGCAATCACAGCCACATGAAAATGAGATAGCACACCGAACTGTTATGATCCTCAAAACCGTTTTGATTAAAAAAACATTGTATCTGATGAAACATACTTCTCCTGTAGATGACAAGTTACATCCGGGAGGGGATCCAAGCCCGGATTTATTACCGACTTTAGCAAGGTCTAAGAAAATCCAGGAAGTTCCTTTTCCAAGATCGCTCATTCTGATCGCCTTCTTCACAGGTTGGCAAACGGCAGGTGGGACTTCTCTTGTTTAGAGTTTTCGCTAAGGGGAGTTTAGCGCCAAAGAGAGGTACGAGTCGCCCACATAGGGCCACTAAATTCGGTGACAATTGGGGAGGATTGGATCGACTGGGTGAAACACTCTCGTCTTTTGGGTGGTACTATCGACGAGAGATTTTCATGGACCCACCACCTTACTAATGTAGCAAAGAATTTTGTAAACAAACTGCGCCTATTGAAAAGGAGTTCGTTCTTGAACAGAAACGCCCGATTGGACTTATACTTCAAGATAATACTACCATCAGTTCTATACGGACTAGTCGCTTGGGGCGGCTGCCCTAATGCAGAGCTTCTACATTCGCTAGAAGTACTTCACCGTAGGGCGGCTAGAATTATATACAACTTAACCCGAGATATGCCTACTGAGGTAGTTTACCGACATTCGAACTGAAATACTTTAACCCTCTATTATAAACTTCGATTAATTAAGGTGGTTCGTACCAGTTTTCATCTTTTTGATGGTTGTAACTTTGAAAGAATACAACAGAAAGACTGACCAAGGCCAGTTGAACACTTTTACGGGGTTGAATTAAATAATCATTGGTTATCCAAAAATAAGTGTCATTTCGTCACTAGCAGTTTCCATGGCAACGCTTTCATAGGCTCATTCAGACGCAATTGAANACTAATGTAGCAAAGAATTTTGTAAACAAACTGCGCCTATTGAAAAGGAGTTCGTTCTTGAACAGAAACGCCCGATTGGACTTATACTTCAAGATAATACTACCATCAGTTCTATACGGACTAGTCGCTTGGGGCGGCTGCCCTAATGCAGAGCTTCTACATTCGCTAGAAGTACTTCACCGTAGGGCGGCCAGAATTATATACAACTTGCCCCGAGATATGCCTACTGAGGAAGTTTACCGACATTCGAACTGGAATACTTTAACCCTCTCTTAGAAAACTTCGATTAATTAAACTACTCCATAGCGTGTTTATAGGTGAAGCACCTACGGCTCTGTCATACTTAACAAACAAACCATGCACCACATACAGTTTTCGAAGACGTAATAATATAATCGGCCCGCGTTTTAACTCGCAGTTTCTTAAAAACTCCATTAGCTATAGAGGTGCTATACTCTGGAACGCTGTCTCGAAACATTTCACAGACCAGTTTTCAGTTTTTTATCGCAAAGTGAAGAAGGACTCTTATTTTAAGGATCTCGATTTTAGCGCACAGTCAGTCCAGTCACTACCTAGATTTTATATGCTTTTAACTATTTTTATGTTTTAAACGCTGTAGTCAATTCAATGTAAATCATTTTTATTATTCTTACTGTATATTTTGTAAAGTGATTTTAAGTGACACTATTCTTATTGCTATTGTGATCATATTTACACGACCCCACAAGCTCCCAGCTTTAAACCTCATCGTGTTTAAATAAAGGATATGATTGATTGATTGATTGAGAAGCGCGAGAAAAACATTACGCCTATTCACACACAAGAACTCTGTCAAGTTCTAGGCGTGTTTCGTCACTGAACTGAACTTAGACAATGAATTCCACTTTGTTTAATTCACATCTTATCTTGCAATCTTTCTAGGCTTGGAAGTAGCTTTACCGATGGCGACACACGAAGAAACCTTTTTTATCGTTTATTTTCATCACTAAAGCAGGAGCTACGGCATCGAGATATTGTACTTTTGAAAATTTCCCTAAAAAAATATTAAAATATTCAATTGAAATTATTCCAAAGTTATAACTACTTACACCAGCTGATGGTTACTAGGGCGAAACCAGAAATATGATCACAAACTAATGGTCTGTTATTTTACAAACAAAAGAAAATAGAAATAGAAAATTAAACAATATTTGACATCCCTTGCCTTGGTTTGCAAATATTGAAGAGAGAGAAAACCAAAGGAGGCCAAGACACCTTTCTTTCCCCCACAGGATTAGGGTCAGATAACTTTCTAGTAACTTGAAAAAAAAAACACAAAATGTCCCACAATGGGTTTTTAGAAAGGAATAATTTGAGCAAATTAAAAAAAATAGAAGAAAATGTTCTCTCCAAATTCCATAGCCAAAGAAAATATCAGCTTTCTTGTTAGCTTTATTAAAAGGGAAATGTGCACCAGAAACCAGATGATTTCAATTTTTATTTTTTTTTATTTTTTATCACTGCTATTAACAAGGGTGTATGGAAACTGATTACAGCTCACACTCCCTTTTGAGATTCTACATAGAAACCTAGCCATTGAAAACTGATAATAAATGCTCAGAAAATACCACACCATACCATATCATGAAAAATAAATATTTAGTCTGAAAATTCTGCCACGTTTGGCCCGTCTCTCGAAGCTTCCAGTAACATAATGGGCAAGATCGAGATATTGACAGTTTTGAAATTCAAACGGTAAGAATATCACGGAACGAAATAAAAACAAACTAGTTTTTCAACTCAGGCCCGCCCACTATTCCTCAGGTTCAGATTTAAAAAAAAAAAAAAATATGGCTATGGGCCCGTGAAGTTACAGGGAATTTCGAGAAACGAGCTTCTGATCATACAGCCAAAGCTACAGGGTGCCGTTCACAGACAAGCGCAAAAGATCATTCGTTGAGTCAAGAATGCCTTTTCTGTGAGGCTCGTAATCATGAGGAAGAAGACTTTTTACGTCATAAGTTAGTTGCCGGGTTACTCGGCTGGATTCAAAATAGCGGTGCACAAAATATAATTATGCCAATCTCTGGAATCACAAACCGCGGTCAGTGTCATTACTTAAGAGGTACTTTGTAACGAAAGCGATATAAATCAAACGGATTCAGGAACACTTTTAGAACTCAACACTTTACAAAAACTATAAGCAAAGTCTTGGGTAGAAAATGTACCCTTGTGGTACAATAAGTATCCGAACTTCTACCAGCGAAACTTATTCACAGTAACAGTGTCACTTGGACACAATTTTGTTGTCCGTGACTTGGAATTCCCCACTGTTTCCATGCACTGTGCGCCAAAAGTGAGCTACCTTACACTCTACAAAAATCCCTGCTTGAAAACAGATGCAAAAATTTGTAACTTAAGTCATTGTCCGACTTTTTCCTCTTGAAACTCGCAATTACGGTTACTTCGTTACGGGGCCATGTTCCTATGACAAGCAAATAAGACTCTCTATTCAGAAGAGTTACAAGACTGTACTACTCTGATACACGAAATATTTACAGATTTAGTAACATGGTTTAGTATCATCTAGCAAACCCCTGCACTATCCGAGAGACTTGCAGTAAAACTGGCCCAGTTTCTGGGTCGTTAATGTAAAATGAACTTGTCGATGGATTTTCTAGCATGTCTTCAAATGCTGAAAAAGAAGTTGATGACAGGAATGATTAATAATTGAGTTATAATGCGTGATCGTAGAACCGCACTCCGTTAAAACAGAAGAGTAAATGAGTAAAATTGTTACTATTTTATCATTTATACAATAAAGTTAATATCACGTGCGCTATAATGGATCGACGCCTATGCACTATCAAATTAAAGACAAACTGATGGCGTCATTCAAATTCTTTCATTTTATTCAATATTTTTTCGACTTTGTCCATCGTGGCACGCAGTATTATGAATGTTTACGTTTGCAACATTTTGCTCGGATTTACTTCGCCATAGCATCGAAAAAAAATTATTCATGAGCGGTTAGCAAGCAAGAAAGAGAAACCGAACCCGTAGCACCTTACCCAAATAAGCACATTACCTACATAAGCACATTACCTACATAAAAATATATGTACAGCTCGAATAGTCGAGCGCAACGAGACAATTGGTGATTTTGTCCCCTTTACTTTTCCTTACGCTTTCGCCGTGTGTCTGTTCAGCTCGTCTCGTCTCTGACGTGTCTCGTTTATGGTCACATTTTGACCTCTTTGTCTTGAAAAACAGAACTGACACAAGTACCTACGTTTAGCCGCACCCTTCGTGGAGAAACCCCACGGGGCGAGGGTACGGCTACACATAGGCTATGACACTCGGCAAAATGAAATCTTATTGAATTCTCATGCTTTAGATGTACATACATACCTCCTAGAATTCGAGCGTTATTGAGACTAAGCTGGACTAAAGGATTCTCCATAATGGCCTGATACAGTGGACTGAAGAAAAATCAGATCACAGGCAAAATGTTTATTTTGCTCAATGCACACCATTAATCACAGAGTGAAGCAAAACAAACGCATACCATAAGTGCTCCAAAGGCTCTGCCTCTGTGATACATGTAACCCCTCTACTGGAAATTCCCAATGAGTAAAAAGCCCCACCCACCCCACCCCCCAACCCTAAAGGTAACAATACAAATACCTTCATAGGGAAGTTTGAGATATGGGCTGTTCCTGTCATTCTTGTACAATGCAACACAACTCTGTCTGATGATATTGTCAAAATTGTCCTGATTTGCACAGTGCACAGGGTAACATTTCAGCGAAAAAAAGGGTACTTGCAATTGAAAGCAGAAGACTGGCATTTTAGTTAAAAGCGGGTTTTTAGAAATACTCCTTTCTGAATAAGGGCACACATCTGGAAAACCCAAAAAACTAACATTACCCTTCATCCTGAGCCTCATTAGTCAAGAACAATTTTATGGTATCACTGACATTTTTACCACATACCTAGACTGGTCCAGGCCTTCACTGACATCTCCTACGCCTCCCTGTCTGTCACCAAGCAACCAATCGCACTATCAACAAAACAAGCAATCAATGTGAAATTATTTCACGCAAATTACTGTAAGCACTGTCATTGAAAAATAAAACTAAATTCACATTATTGTACCTTTTTCCTACATGAACACAATGTTTTGAGAGTATTAATTAATTAATAGAAAGTTCATTAATTAATGTCAATTTAAACATAATAATGATTGAAACAGGTATCTACACCTACAGTACTGTTGTTTCTGAATGACATTTAACTAAAAGTTTATAGGAAACTCTTACATTTTGTTACAAGCTGCTCTGTTTGTGGAACAAGCTTTCCAGATAAAGGTATACAAACCCTTGTAATTTTGTTGAAACAAAATGTTCACCAATTGGAAAAATAATAATAATAATAATAATAATAATAATAATAACACCTTTATTTAGACACGATAATGTTTAAAGCTGAACAGCTTGTGGGGTTGTGTGTAAATTCAAATAAACTCTAAATTAAATGAATTCAAATGATGATGGTTTTTGAGGAGAGGGGAAAACAAGAGTACCCAGAGAAAAACCTCTCGGAGCAGAGTAGAGAACCAACAAACTCAATCACTTAAGACGCCGGGTCTGGGAATCAAACCCGGGACACATTGGTAGAAGGCGAACGTTCTCACCACTACGCCAACCCTGCTCCCTCAACTTAATTCTTTTAGTTTAAGAATTGGAACTCATTGCAATCAAGACAAAAATAGTCTACAGTCGGTAGACAATATTGTGAATATCATACTCACAGCAGCTTCCTGATTGTTCCCAGTTGCTTTGAGTGCTGCAAGAATTTCTTCCTCCTGAAAACCCATTTCTTTCAAGTTGTTTACAGCCTGCACCACAAAACAAAGGATATTAAGTCAATCACAAAATCTTAAAGCAATTAAAAATTATGCACATCACAATTAAAAATTGTTATTCATATCTAACTTGTAGACTTTATTGTAAAATCCTGATACTGGTGCAGTGCTCTACTCTATGATTTACATATACTCAAATTCATTTTAATTCACTGCAACAGCTTAAATAAAATGACCAGTTCTCAGTTGGTTTGTTAGCTTAGTTGGTAGAGCATTTCACTGGTATCACAGATTAAGTCATGGGTTCAAATCCTGTACAGGCCTGAATTTTTTTCAGGCCTTATTTCCACTAAGTACTACGTAAGTAAGATCAATAACTGCGAGGATCGCTTTCATACATTTCATGAGACCGCAGTACACATAATTATATGATATTCATATATTCAAATTCATTGATTTATCACTTCAATGGGTTAAATATGAACCAACATAATGACCAGGTCCCAGTTGGCTTGTCAGCTCAGTTGGTAGAGCACTGCACTGGTATCACAGAGATCATGGGTTCAAATCCCATACAGGCCTGAACTTTTTTTTGGCTCTACTTCCACTACTGTGGAGGTGCAGCGGCCTAATGGTTGGCGCGCTTGACTCCGGATCGAGTGGTCTGGGTTCGAGCCCCGGCCGGGACATTGTGTTGTGTTCTTAGGCAAGACACTTTACTCTCACAGTGCCTCTCTTCACCCAGGTGTATAAATGGGTACCGGCAAATTTAATGCTGGGGGGTAACCCTGTGATGGACTGGCATCCCATCCAGGGGGGAGTAGAAATACTCCTAGTTGCTTCATGCTACAGAAACCGGAGTTAAGCACTGGCCTAATGGGCCACTAGGCTCTTAAAGAAACTTTACCTTTTTACCTCCACTACTACATAAGTAGGGTTCATAACTGCAAGGATTGCTTTCATACATAATGACCCAGTTTAATTTCGTCTTCCTAAATGTTCTAAGAAAACACTGTATATTTACAAACTTGCTCTATCTACTGCACATGTGTAATAACATTTTAAGTATCTCACAGTGTTAAGCTGAAGGTAACTCACCCTTGGATTGGGAACAAACTCCTTCCTTTTCCTACAGCTTCTCCCAGCTCTTGCTCCTAACGTCAGAGGCTCGTCAATGTCAGCATCATTTTCATGCTGTAGAAGCCATTCCATAGCCAGCACAGGAGACATTCTGTCAAAATTCAAGGTTAGGAGGATCAGAGGGTTTGGGAAAAAAATTAATACAGTAACTGTAACTGTTCTATCAATTCAAGTTACTAAGATGTGAGCTGTGCAATTATAATTTCTCTTTTATACCTGACATTTCTAAACAAAATAATAAAATAATCCTCACAGATACACTGCAATTCGGAGAAACAGAAGCCAGACAAGTATAAGGATTGACCAGTTCAAGCTTGTGCCAACCAGGTACATGTTCTAGAAGGAAGCTAAGTATCAACAAAGCCATGACACCCCATGAAAGGAAGGAGGCAGACTTTGACGAATTTTTTTGAGCTCCATTAGAGAAATAAATCACACATTGGTGTTTAGATAAGAAGGGAGAAATGTTACAATGATTGTAACTATCCTTGATCAGATAATGATTACACAGTATGTATTTATCCCTATAAGACTGTATTTGTCATTAATTTTATTAGATGTAAAGCAAATGTTTTGTCTTTAAGCTCCCTCATCATCATTTGTGCAGGGTTAGTTGAGGAAAAATTGTCATGATCATAAATTCTACATTAACTTACCTGTTCAAAATCAGAGCCTTTTTAGCTCTTGTGTCTTTGAATCCCATATCTATTAATTGCTTGAGTACAGTCTGCAAAATCAACAATAAAAAATTTAATAGGTATATAATAATAGTTAAATAACAATTATTCCATGAGCGCGCGTTGGATATGAGATGATAGATAGCCAATGAGGGGCGTAGCGCCGAGTTGGCTATAATCATCTCATATCCAACAAGCACGAGTAGAATAATTGTTTTCTTAAAAAAAATGCCTCCAAGATATTAGAAAAATCTTCTCAACTTTATTTTGTAAGAAGAAACCAGATGTTACAATGTACAGATATTAGATTATGGTATATCGGCTCATACCAGAGCTAAAAAAACTGTCTAATATAAAGATTTGTCCAATATCTTGGGGGTGTTTTTAATAAAACAATTATTCCACTCGCGCTTGTTGGATATGAGATGATTATAGCCAACTCGGTGCTATGCGCCTCGTTGGCTATCTATCATCTCATATCCAACAAGCGCAAGTGGAATAATTGTTAATTATACAGATGCATGACTGCACCAAAAGCTATTAAGATAATCATAATAATGCCCTGGTTCAAATTTATTTTAATTTGGTTTCATTTCTTTATTCAAACTGTTCTGACTTTTCTTTTCTTATGTTTCAGGTTCAAACTGTTCTGAGTTTTCTTTTCTTATGTTTCAGGTTTTAACACAATGGTAGAGAAAAGAAAAACTTGCTTCTCGGCCTTTTGGCTAAGATCAAGTGTAGTATCTGTTTTTATCAGCTTAATACCCGATACGCTGCTCATTGTTTAATCACGTTCTTGTTTTGCCCCACCGTGACTAGCTTCTTAGCTATTTGCGGGGCAAACCATTTTAATCAAAGACATGTATTTTTATAACAAGAATTTTCAATTATGTAAGTCTGTAATCAGAGAATAAAAATAAAGTTTTTGTTGTTTTTGTTGTTGTTACTTGTACTTGTGTATAACAAAGGGTTTGAAAAATTTGCTACCAAGGAATAAAATTGAAGCACAAGAAATACACTTCATGTTGATGATGAAATAAAACTATTGTTTGTTAGCTTACTGGATCAACATTAGGCTGAGTGTCCTCTTCTTGAACTGAAAAAAAAGTTCAGTAATTATATAAAAATCTGTATGTAAAACATACATGTGTGCCCAAACAACATCAATTAACTCTTCTAGTGATTGTGCATAATATAAACTAATTGACTGTGGTTAAACGTGGTCTGTACTTTTATTGACAACAATATTTATCATCACAATGGTCAAAATGTTGTGGATTCACAAGGTTCCGAGTCATCCATGTTTGAGAGCTAATGAAGGCATTACGTGACTAGTTGATATGAACAGTGTTGTCTGGACTCTTATTGACAAAGGCAAATAATGGCCTATCAGATTATAAAATTACTGCCAATTGTGGTAAATAATTGTGTAACAGTAACAAACGAATCACAAAAGAAACAAAAATACCTGTTCACTGATAAAAAGTTGACAAATTTAACAGACTACATTATTATTATCAAAGATTCAAGTTACATTCCAGCTTAATTCATTACTTTAGACTGAGATTGCTTTCAATTGAGTCAGTCTAAGAGAAATCAAAATGAAAGACAGTTACGTGATAGCTAGGGAAGGTATAGTGAAATTCCCATTCTGATCATTTTCCAAATAATAAAGCATTTTTCATTTGTTGCATACCTGCACTATCATTTTCATCAGAAGCATTCACAGACTGAAGGAGTATGGAAGAGTCAATCAAGGAGATGAGAATCCTTCTAAGTTCTGAATTGAACTAAAATCAACAAATCAAGTTATATTTTTACAATTGTCAATTTTAGTAATACAACTGGAACCAGGTTTTTCATCTGTAATACCCAAACATCATTGCCTAGATTAACATCATCTTTTGTAAAAATAAAATTTTAAATAGAGGGGTAAAATCATACATCATATAAAATAGACAAGCAGCAAAAATATAAAGTTTGACACCTTGTGTTGGGATCTTACCTACATATAATCTAGTCTAAATTTTACTTCTGCGAAATTCAAAATTGTCCAAATGGTGATTTTATTGTTTTTCAATTTGGCTTGTTGTTAAAATTTGATTGTGTCATGCAACAGGTTTTCAGCAGTGCCTTGATATAACCCTCTGTTTTGCTATCAAATGTTGAAGACATAACAACATGATCATTTTGCAGAATGGCAGTGTTTTGAAAGAATCATTTCCCTTAGGTGTGACAAATAAAGCTGATTGTTTTATCATAAGAAAATATGAAAGTTTTATTTTATGGTAACATGTTGAATTCTGTAATGATTTCATGGAAATCATCTACTGCTTGCATCTCCATGAGTCCCATCTCAGGGAATATTAAGACTGGACATACAAGAGCAGATAAGAAAATCTAGCTGAGCTGGATTTTGTCTCTTTTAAATTAATGATCATAATTTGTAATCTCAAGTTTTCCTCAAATTCTTACATTAGTTTTAAATCATTAGTGCTGTTTTGATTATTTGATGGCTTTACTCAATCAGCCTGTCATTTTTGTTGTAATTCTGTCAACAACAAATTGAATATTTCTTCATTTTTATCTACCTCCAGTAGTCTGTTATCAAATTTTCTTTTTATTTTGCTGTAACTAAACTCCTGCTTTGCACATTTTTCTTTCCTCAATAATTCAAACAGGTAGCCAGAAAGTTGTAAATGCTGTAGTTGTTTTTATTTCCTGGCTGCTTTTTTATCTACATAACAGTTTGTTATTAAACCAGTCAACCCCTAAGAGTAGCTAGCATCTCATTATTTTCTCCTTACAATAAACCTGAATTATTCATTAAGGTCACAAGAATAGAGGAAATAATCACCAACTAAAGCAGCGGCTCTTTTTAGAAATTTACCTCTTTTTTTTTTTTTTTTGTAGGGCCCTTATTGATATCAGCATTTTATGCTGAAGAGGTCAGCCTGGTTAAATAACATTTATTATTGCTAAACAAATTCTCCTAGTCTGCACCTTAGGAAATGTATAGAGAACAGTATGGAGAATATCCATACTGATGTTAAGATGTGGAGGGTTGAAATAAATGAAGTTCTTGCTTACATCCAAAGTGGGAGGTGACAAACTGAGAGACGGTTCCTTTATCTTCCCAGCGGGAAGCTTGGCAGTTAGCTTCTTGACCCCTTTCAGGTCAGGGACTTGGTAAGAGCTAGTTTTGCATTCCTATGTAGTTTTTTGTGAAAGACACATTAGAAGGCAGTTTCTTCATCAGCCAGTGAGTTGTTTTAAGGTAGCTGCTTGAGTAGGAGTACAAAATACTACAGTAAAATGACACGATTGAAGAGATAAAAGAGCTATAAGTTCAGGACTGGAAAAAAACTAATTTTGAAGTTCGATTACTGGGCCTAAACTAGCAAATATGCGCATACGGTAAAACTTTTATGACTTATATTAGAGTAACTTGAAATCTAAATGTAAATTTGTCAGTCTGCCTTTCAATAATATCTCGGACGGCGTAACCTCCTATTTTTATCCACACATAAAAAGCAAAATAGAAGTTACTTCTAAAATTAGATTGATTTGATTTAAAATGAATACAGAAATCTAGCTTGCACCGTAAACACGTAAAGATATTTTCTGGATATTTTCTTTAAAAACATTAAGAAGTTGGAATTGTGATCATTTACTCTACAATAAATTTAGAATATTCGAGAAAACGCTTACTTTTTCAGCAACATCAGCAGTAGCGTGAGGTCGTTTTCTGAAGAGTATTAATTCGTCTGAAATCATAATATTGACAACGGTAAATTGAATTATAAGGTCTGAAGACACAATAATATCCACTTCTAAAACTTAATTTGAAATTCGGCGCTCACCATTATCTCGGACATTTTCTTCCTCAAGAGTTTTCGAGTCAATCAGTTCACTATTTGATCTGGCGAGGATAAGTTTATAGCTCGGAGATTCCTTCGAAAATTCTCCTCCAAGTGCTTTATCCTTCACAGCGTTTACTGTATCACGCAAACTTACTGTCAGATTACTTTCTTTCCCTGACGAGCTAGTGATTTTTATACAAATTAGAGGGACAGATCTAAGCGATTTTAAGCTCTGAAGTTCAAATTCCCTCATATTTCGCGTTATTTTTCATCTCCCAGTTAAAGTTTTGAGAAAACAAGACTTTCGTGACACAAAGGTGACGTTTATGCGCAGATAGTGACCAAATTGTTAGATTACTGCGCATTTAGATCCGAGACTGAATTTTTAATGAATTAATGAAAGAATGAATATGTAGATCCGAGAATGAATATTTCTAACCAAATATGGAGTTTCAAAAAGATCGGAAAGCGTCGTGATTTCCGAATATGTACGATGCAATTTCCACGCAGTCAATATTTTCTCTGCCATGGAAATGAGTTGAATGGGGAAGTGAACCATGAATAAGTGAATTAGAATCAAAGCAAAGAATCATTCAGGTACAAAAATACATTTTCTGTTTGAAGGATGGAAGATGAGACGAACACGACAGAAATTCCTAGAGGATTGAGAGTTGTGGTGAGATTTTGGGGCGCCGTGTCTGGGCTGTGTAAGTGTTGTTGCATTTTGCTCCTTCAATATTTTGATCGCACCAGTAAATTGTTGACAGACTTTTTGTTAAGATTTTTCTATCCTTTGATTAATGGACAAGTATAACTTAGTTATTTCCGTAAATTTTCGCATCGATTTGCTTGTTTTGTTTTGTTTTTTTTGCTTTTTTTTTCAGTAGTTTAATTTTTACATTTATTTTGTTCGAGTCAACAAGATATTGCAAGTCGTCGATATGATTTTGGCAGGGAAACTGACCGGCTTCATCACATGAGTGTCGATTTACGTGCTGTCAGAGATCATGGTTGTGTTTAATTTTCCGTTCTTTCAGTCCTGAATTTTCAGGAATTAACAATGCGTTTAACCACGATTTCCTTCCAATAGAGTAGAAAATAAAGTTTGAAAATTCAAATGCAATGAATTTCTTCTTCATAGCGTTAAATTTCTTTTGTATGCTCCCAAACAATACGAAAACCTGCATTGATTCATGTGACAGTGACAAGTGGATTATAAATCGACAGTGTATAAAATTTGATCAGGCGTTTTACATTGAACCAAATCATGGTATTTAAAAGAAGATGCAAGGCCACAGTATATTCAATATAATTTGGATATATCAACAAAGTTGAAATGGTAAATTGGCCACCGTAACGATTACAAAAGCTGACGTTTCGAGCGTTAGCCCTTCGTCGGAGCACAGTATATTCAAATTGCTCGATGTAATTCCCTGATATTTACTGTGAAGTGAAGTGAAAACCTTTATTTAACTTCGAAGCAAACAACTATGCTCTGTAAGGGAAAATGAAAAATGCAGAAATGTTAACTTTAGATATGACGATTTCAGATGCACTTTTTCTTTTCAATTAAGGGTCTAATATGGAAGTGTTGTAAGAGTCGTGGTTAAAAACATAAATATTATAATAAACATAATGGCAGAAGGTTACAAATAGCCAATATCGCAAATTTTCTCTGAATTTCTTTTTAAACTGTAGTTTAACAACTGTGGCGTGTTATTAACCTCACCACATTGTGTAAAAAAGAAGTCATCGCCCTCCCCCAATAAAGGTCTCCAGAGGGAAACATCCAGTTACTATTTTCAGGAGGCTGAAAATTAGTCTCAAACTGTACAAAAATTTTATCATTGTCAAAAAGCTGAGCGGTCACATTCATGTGCTTTGCCTTTGAATCAGTCGTTTTTGTGCAGAACGTTGCATAGATAACTTATGTGTTTTATGTGCTTTCATGTTATTGTCTGTTAGGTTCTGCAGCTCTTGGCATCTTAGTACTTTTTACATTATCAGCAACATGTTTGGGAATGGGTATTTATATGATGTAAGTAGAAATATGAGTTCAAATTTAATAGAATTTAAGTCATGCCTTAAAGGAGCTGTGTCTGAGGAGCAGGTTTTGCAGATATGCTTGAATGCATACAGGCGTAGCATTGAGCCAGGGTTAAAGAGGTCCTTCAAGACATTTTTTCGCCTAAGGTGATTCCTCAGAAAAATGAGTTATTGAAAAATTAATTTTAAACCCCCTCAAATGTTCCCAGCCAATGTCTGTTTCAAAAAGTACGATAAAAAAGATAGGCCACTGCGTGCTTGTTTGAGAGATCTGATGAGCATCATTTCATCAGTTCACAGTACATTTTGCAGTGGTTGGAAGCAAATGTTTTTTAAGTAGGTCTTGAAAAAAACTTGATAGGTAGAATGTCTTGAATGTATGAAACAATTTGATATATGTTTATGGAAAAATCCTGCAATTTTAAAGGACAGTGACTCAAAAGGTTTCTTGAGTCATTGCTTTCAAAGTCACAATTTGCATCCTTGAGTAATGGGCTTCATGCATGCTTTTAGCTATATCTTTTTCCCTTCAATGAGTTTTTTGTTAAATTTCCAAAGGGGATAATTTTGTACCCAAAAATGATAGGATAAAAAATATTGGTCATTGTGTTTGTTCAAGAGCCAAAGACCTTTACCTGGTCCATTGATTGAAAAGCAATACAGTTTTCACAGAATGCATGTGTGCTTATTTGCCTGATTATGTGATTTTTTTGTGCAGTACAGGTTGTGCAAAACTGAGGAATCACCTTAACTCAAACTTTTGACTTGCACACTGCACTGCACACACACACACACATGCACGTATGCACACTCACACATACACACACACACACACACACACTCACACACACACACACACACACACTCACACACACACACACACACTTGCACACACTTGACTGCACCCCTCCCCATTTCCCATGACATCCTTACCTTTTTTTTTGGTTACAAAAAAAATTGGAATTTTGATTCTATCACTGATTATGTAATAAATAAGAAACTGCTCTCAGAAAAAAATGTACTTTCTATCTCTTGCTTTGACTGCATGACTGCATTTGCACATCTTAAAGATAATTAAATTCCAGGCTTCAGAAGTAGGCCTAAAAGCATTTGGCATTTGATGGACTTGATAAGATTCACAGTAGGTACAACTTTTTTACAACTTACCCTCTAAGGAAGTGGTCATTCACTTTGTGTGTATAAGAAATTGATTGCAGTGTTCTTGTGTAATTTTCAGGGTAATGGGTGCAATAATACTAGCTTTTGAGGCTCCAATGTGTTGCCAGTTTGTACCAGCTCTAGTTACCATGAGTAACTGGTTTGAGAAGTACTTGAGATTCTGGATAAGAGGAAGTTTGTACTTTCTGTAAGTTGTTTTTATTATTTTTATTATTATTTTATATTATAACTGTGATAACTGGGGTTTTTATCATCTACGGTTAGGGTTAGGGAGTCAGAGAGTTTGTTTTGGAGTTTTACTGTATCATAAACCATGATACATTGTATCTCTTGCAGCTCTTTTCATTGTGAGCAATTATGGATTTTTTTTTATTTTTTGATTTTTTTTTATTGTTTATTACACTTACACATGTACTTACACTATAATTACTTTTTACACCATGTTTAAACTACATTAACTTACACTACTTACAATACATATATAACAATACAGTTACACTAGTCAAATTTAATTACAGTTGATCTATTTACCACATTATTGTTTGCATGTTAATTGTCGAGTAACTACTGAGAATTGTGTTTGCTATTTAAACTACAAGGGAATTGATTTTCCAGAAATTAAGAAACTGTTAAATAAAAAAGATAGCGAAGAGATCGAAATACAAAGTTGAAAAAAAAAAAAAAATTATGGATTTGTCACTATCATGGAAATACAATTAGCATGTAGAATTCTATCTGAGATATGTGTGTTTGAATATTGTTGTTCCAAGTTCACTTTGTGATCATCAGCTTGACTCTACTGAGACTTTTTACATTGTGAAGTTGTTCTATGACGTAGAGCATGTGTGCCTAAGTCTTAGACTCCCCGGAGTGATTAACAGGGTGACTTGCCCTTGTGATATTCATACAATATCCAGCAAACAGGCTCTGAGAATACTTAAACTTATCATGTAAAAGTTATTATTTTGGTCTAACACCAAATTCATATAACCATTTTACAAATGAAGGAAATTTGTAGCAGCTAGAGGGGATGAATTAACGATCAGATCTTGAGATTTAAACTAAGGGTTAATGAATAGTTAACAGTGCAATGCCTTTATGCAATTGCTCAATGTTTACTGAATTTTGTTTTTGTTCTATTTCTAGGTTAGCACTCCTTCCAGTTATTTTCTGCCTGGAAGTCTCTACCTTTGTTGGTTGTGGCTCTGTTATGATCACAGCTGCTTTGTATGGTGTTTTGGCTATTGGGAAAAAGTGAGTGAAATTCTTTGATATTTGTTTAGATATATGGTGTAAGTACAAGTACTTAAAAAAGAGAAATGAATTTATTTGGTGGATCCCTCATCTCTTAGCCATTTCTTTGTTATAATAACCCTCTTACTCTTAAGATCTCATGTGATTGAGTAATTCTCTATGCTGACTGCCATACAATTCTTATGGTGTGAATTTAGAGAGTTTGGTATTGAATCAACCAATAATCTCCTAATTAATATTTTTCTCTTGCCTGCTTGATATTGTATCATTATTTTAAGGAGGAATTCTTTCTTAGTTAAGTTGAAGAGATTTTATGTGTCTGAGGCCTCCATTCACCAGACTTCACAAGCAGTCAGGTTCACCTGTACATACAGTATTTTTCACCAATGCCATGAGCATTCTAGAGCATTGTTTGTAACTTATTCAACAAGTTTAGTGCTGGTGTTGGCAGAGTTAAGTATCAGTAACTTTTCATGCGACATGTTACATGTGTGTTCTCTTGTGGAAAGGAAATTGTTTTGTACTTTGGGTGTCCTCACTCAAAAATACTTTCAATTGTCTTTCTTGTAATAGAGGAGCCCATGCCAACAAGACCACAAATTCTGAAGAAATTGAGATGAAAACTAACCTCGTTGACAAGAAAGGCGACCCAAATTATGTTGGAGAAGCAGAACCTTGAATTCACTCAAAGAGATAAACAGTATACATGAATGATTTAAACCAGCGGTCTCCAGATTCACTGTTCTAATTAACTTTAAACTATTAAATTATTCATGGGCAGTCTCAAGGGATGTTAACAGTTGCCTTCGTTACTGTAGATGTACCTGAAAAAGCCCATGTGATAATTTTGACTAAGGCAATAGCTAGCATTGTTGGTTCTATGGGTGTCAGCTCACAGAATGGCTGAACATCAAGCAAAGTAATGGAAGATGGGATGTTGTTTACTGGTCAAAGCATCAATAGTATGGTATTGCATACTGATGTTCATGTACATGTAGGATAGACTGTCAAATTGGAAAAAAGTGATGAAAAAGTCAAAGTTTAGGGATTAACAGTCCTTTCTGGGAAGCAGTTCACCTGTTAAGAAAGAGTTTTTTTTTTTTGTTTGTTTCTTTCTTTCTTTCTATACTTGCATCTCTTTGGTCAAATTTGGAACTGTAAATCATGAAAGTGTCAAGTGTACATGTATTTATGTACAGTGTGGTACCATAAATCTTAAAATTCCAAGATCCAGTTAGTAATCCTACCCCCTTTATGCCATACTTTTCCTTCTAAATAGGGCAGGAGAATTTTGGCTTGTTCCAAAATAACACCCTCTTTCGGACAAGCTTCTCTGTTCTCACAGCCTGTTTACAAGGTAGCTTATTGGAATTTCAAGGATAATTTACATGATAATCACTTCTGGGAATTAAAGGGTTAGATAAACATATTTTATGTTTTCAAGAGGAATTTTAATTAGAAAATCTGTTTAAGTCAGTAATTTTAATCAGAAAACCTAGTCCTTATTTATATATATCTTATTAAACAAGCGTGAGGGCCTTACTGGGAGAATATCGGCCCGAGGTCTTGAAAGTACGGACCGAGCGCAGCGAGGTCCGTACAAAAAAGACTGAGGGCCGATATTCTTCCATTACGGTCCCGAGCAAGCTTGGTTAATAAGAGATTTATTACACGACTGAAGTTCAAAGGGACACAAGTGCCGTATCATTCGGGACTATTCGGGACAGTGCCCGGTCTAATACTGAGAGAATATTGACCGGCAATAGAGCATTTTGATTGGTTGATTTTAGTTATTGACCCTCTGACTTCCCGAGTCGTGTAATAAAATATCTTACTAGTAATGTTCACTTATGCTCTGTCATGCATGTTTCGTTTAATTTACCCACAATTATTTATTCAACCTCTCAGAAGTGCATTAATTTCAGGTGTTAAAGACTTCTTTGAGTACCAACAAGTTCTTCCTAAAGAAGAAGCACTCTTAAGGGAATAATTGTGGCACCTCCTAACACACTGATGGTGTTTTCAATTAGCCTCCTTAGCAAGTGCTTGCCCAGCCTGAATGAAATGATGTGAGGATCATTTCCTGTATTCTTGTAACCCAATGTTGATTGTTCAGTGATACAACAGGGAGAAATTGGATGCTGATCGCTTACTTATGGGGTTAAAGTTCGTCAAATTTCTTTGCATTTAAGTTAATATATTGAAAGAAGCTCTTTAAATTTTCTGAGAAAAACGTGTCATATCAATACAAAATAATTTATTTAATTTAAAGAGGTCTTAAGTGGACTTCAAGGTTATATGTTTAATATAAGATTTGATTCAATTATGGTAGTTTAATCACAAATTGGAAATTTAATTGAAAGGATCATTAACACTAGGGACATTTTTAGTACAAGAGTTTACGTTGTTTCAAGTGTTAGTGGAATTGTTTTGTTCTTTCATTCTCAAATAGTAATTCTTGACTGACATGTGAAGCAACTTATCTATGATGTGGTAGAATTAGCAATAGTTCAGGGAGAATTCGCAACAAGGGCACTTGTCCTTTTTAAGATATGACTCTGGTTTTTAGAAGAATCCCTTCGTCTTAAGGAAAAAGACGCAAATTGTAAACTATGACTGACTTCTGTGACCTTGTTCAAATGCTGAACGTGTGCTATTATAGTTGTTGGATAAAAATAGAACTATTCTAATAGTTCTCACAAGAATTGACCATACTGGCACGTTTTCTTTTAAAGAAAAATTACTTCTACATTACGAATTACGAAAGCCCTGTTAAATTATTATTTTAAGAGTTTATTTAGGAACTAAATCGGCCGGGGCATTTTATTTTTTTTTTTAGCAATAAACAATGGCTGAAAATGTCTTGTAACGTGTGGTTCTTAACGATATTCGGATTGATTTTCAAAGGAATCTGTCTGTTTGAACGGTATAAAAAAGTAAATCTTGCTTTTTTTTCAAAGTTATCGTTTGCAATTCGTGTTTATTTTCGCCAATTTATCAATGGAACGACAGTGTATTCGTCAAGAGCAGTTTTCAATTGACTGTCGAAAACACCAAAATCATAGTAATCCAAGCGACCAATAAGAACATAGGTCTACATTTATCATTAGCTACTGAGAACTCAAAGTGGAAACAAGCAAACTGCTTCAAGCGCAGGAAAACGTCAATGGCGAAGTAGCGATTGTGTTAAGTTTTGCATATGTTTGGTTGAGAGGATGGCGCGAGATTTCTAGACAAATCACAGAGCAAATTGCTAAGTAAAACGACGAAAGCAATTCTGTATTCGACACGCAGTTGAATAGTACACTATTTTATGGTTTCCTTCCATTTTGAGTCATCATACGAGAAGCTGGAGAAAATTGATGCAGTTGTTGAAGAGAACATTTCTTAATTGAATGTCGAAATCAATCCACGTGTCTGCTTTAGTTTTGCTTGATTTCGTTCTGTGACTGACTTCAAATGGAAAACCTATTGCGACCCGGAAACACGTGTTTACTTGTGATTCAACCAGTTTGGTTTTTTTATTGGCTCCATATTATGGAGCGCTTCCGATTGAGCGTGGTAATACTGAGACCTGAGTTATTTACAACGACTAATCAGAAGGGAAGAATATACCTCGAAGAGCCAATGAGAACTGCGAGTCAATTCAAAACAAAAAAATTGCCTAAAGCGCGGCAAAATGCGGGCGACTAAGTTGTGGTTGAGGGGGAGTGGCGCGAGTTTTCTGGAACAATCACAGCAAATTAAAGCAAAATCAAGGCAATTCAGGATTACTTTCGACAGAATTGGATATGGATTTATTTATATGGACCGTAATTCGTTCTCATTTGCCTTAAGATTAATCTGGTTTTGTGTTTACAAATCTCACTTGAAAAGCGCGTTAAAGCTTTCAAATTCCAAAACATTTTGATAACGAGGATTCTTACGTGCACGATGATAGCGGAGAAAAGTTCGAATACTATTTTCGCTAGCCTAGGTTGGGCATAAAAAAAAAGGTAATAATGTATACCTTGTTAGACGAGATTGGCCAAAATATGAATGAAATTTTTTGGCGCACTTGTCGGGTTTCAAGAAGTTTATTGACTTTTTGACGGATCAGTGATGGGAATTATTTTAGAGAAGTAGTTCAGTTTCATATCTATCTTTTTAACTTGGGTTTGCAATCGCAAGCCCCTGAGAAAACTTAGAATTCATGTGTTTGTTGTACATGAAAGGGTACGAAAAAACCATCGTAACGGCCAAATCAAATTACTGCTGAAGGGAAAACATCGCAGCTGTCGTGCATTTGAATTATGAATGGTTATTTTGAACACGTTGTTAATAAGCATCGTTAAAATTTTCTGGTTGAAAAATTTAACACCTCGTGATAACACAGGCGATACTCATCTAATGCTTTGCAATCTCTTTATTTAAGACTTAAAGGGTGATTGACAGTTAAGAAATATTCCGTTTACTCCCGTGCACTTAGATTTAAATATTTTATGACGACGTTTACTCGGTCAACAGCTGCCGCAAAGTGGCTCGATTAGATCACATGAGGAGTTTTTCGACCAATCACAACGTTTTCTTGATACTTATGTGAGAGACACCGCTGTATAAATGAAGGGTTTGGTTCAATTTGTGTTGAGGGGGTTTCCAAAAGACAGTCGATACCATTCACTTGCAACTCCGTGAACTTCACTTTCATCGGAAGTCGAGGTGAGAATTCAAAACTCAACGTTGCCCATATCAGAATTCGAAAGGGAATGTTTTGTGTATATGTGAGTTTTTAGAGATGAGCCACTGAAGGCAACTCACACTGTTACATGCAGCCTTGTACACCTGAAAAGATAGCTTTTCAGCTCAATAGACTAAATTTTATTGCAGCCTTAAACAAGGTGGAATGAGGACTTACAAGTAACTTCGCATGACACGATAAACATCTCTGCAAATTTCAAGCTGCACTAGGGCTCGTCCGTTTCATGAAGAAATCACTAGTTTCAAGCCCACAGCAATGGATTTTAATGTTTTATCTTTAAAGATCGCTCAGAAAACTCATATTCGTTATTTCATGCCAATTTTCAAAACCCTTAAACTTACTTGTTACATTCCAACAATTCAGATCGAAGATCGAGTGGCCTAACCTGAAGAAAAAAAAATCATGGCCAGAGTTTTCCCCCTTCAACTTTGTTTTGGTCAATGACTGATAACCATGAAGGAAAAAGTATATATTGCTTACTAGAAAAGAGATACAAAAATCACACCTGAAGAAATATACAATATATTCGTAACTTGAGAAAGAGACAATTACAGCAAAAAGTTGCTATTTATTTTCAAATGATGATTTTGAAAATAAGTCCTTATTCAATAGAAAGGACTTCAATTCATTGCCTAAGGAAGGAGTCAATCAAAACAGAGATTTAGGCATAAACAGAATGCATGAGCAGGACACCCTCAAACCAATAAAGCCGTGTGGCTTTGAACAGTAATGAATCATCGCGACAGAAGGCCTAATTTACAGTTTCAAGTTATTGTCTTCAACTTCTCAGATCGAACACCATACAGAAGCCTCTTATTGTTCTCGTAATCGCCATCGTGTTGAAAGTACTACTTGTTCAAGGTAAGTGCATTTTCAAATTTACAATAGCGCCTCTTTCAAGGCTTCTATATAAAGAAAAACATCACATTAGATAATTTATTTGATTTCACGTCTTTAGTTCAGGATTGAAAATTCGTTTTTTTTTTCGTCTAAAGTTCATGCAGAAACAGAAAATATTTAGACAAAACGACTTATCGACCAGGTTATCCAATGCAAATCCAGGTGATAAGAAAATATTTCATTTATAAGATCGATAACCAGCCAAAGAGTATCTATAAAGAATCAACGGGGTAACGAAGTAACAAAAGGTAATCTATCGAGTTTACGACAATTTCTTACCATAGTTCTTACTATAGAAAGCTTAAATTGCATTTAAAAAAAGAAACTGAAAAACAGACATTTCAAACTGTAAGCTGCTAAAAGTTTCTCTTTCCATTTTTTTCTTTTTTGTGTGTGTATCGGTTCAACAAAGAAAATTCAAACTGAGAGCTATATAAAGTTTTCATCTTTGTTTTCTTTTATAAAATTTTTCGTGAGGTTAGATTCTCACTTCACTTTTTATTATTTTTTTTTTAAGGTGGGGCGTTGAGAACTCGCCAGACAAAACGCAAACACGGTGAATTGCGCTCATGCGCAGTATGGCCACTGGAATGTGACTCGCAGGAGGAACATTGTGGTTTTGAGGATTGCGACGGACAGTGCTTCACTTACTACACCAGGGACCTGGACCCAATACATGGTGAGGTCGATGATCTGCAAAAAGGTTGCTACACCATGGCAGAGGCGGAGAACTTTTGCCACGATGAAAGTGTTTGTGAGGGGTTCGAATCAATGGTGACCAGTCTGCTAAAAGGGAAGGTTTTGCATTGTGAACACCATTGCTGTAACACAAACAATTGCAACGAATAAACTGGGACACATTAAAAAACGCGTCTAGGTATTCTTGCGCTACCCTTGTGACTGGTGCATCTTTCCCCCAAGGATTGCAAATGGTTCTAAGACAAATATCTGGTGGGAAAGCTCGTCTGTCAAACCTGCGCATGCCTCCTCGAAAACCTGACCTGAGCTGGAAAGTTGTTTGGGCGATTGTACAACGGCATCAACCATTGAGCTTGAGTTTTTCAAAGAGAAAGAGCTTTTCTTAGAGTACGATTAATTAATAATTTGTTGGGCAGAATCAATGCGCCTCTTGACACTGCAAATTTATTCAGGCAGCATCAAAAATTGATATATGATGTTGTGTTCTGGCTTTAAATCTCGTGTTGACGTTCACAGCGTTCAATCGTCAAGGTTATGGATTCTGTACATCATAGATCGTGCTAGATTGGATTCAAAAGAAGCTCCACACACAAAAAAGCGCAGTATATAGTTTACCATCGATCCGGTTTCCGACCGCATTTGATCCTTGAGACCTCAGAATAAAGCTTGACAGCGATGGAAAAAATTGTTCGAAATCGATGCCAATACTGAAGTCTGTCAAGTAACGTCGCGCTTATCCTTAGGAATCATATTCACAATGGGGTTGAAAAAATCTCTGTCGGATTTTTTGTCGTGTACATGATGGTTTCGTTCGATCAGTTGTTTTGTTTTGCTTCCTATAGAGGAGACTTTTTTCAAAACCGCAGAGATAAACACTACTTTATCACTATGATCATAATTGTGGGTAACCTATTCCAAGTCTATGGTTATTAAACGGCGCACTCGGCGAAAAAACAAGACAGAGATTTGACACAGCAGCCCTCGCAAGGTAAAAATGTCGGAAATCCTTCCTCCTGCATTTTCAAGCGACTACACACACACACACACACACACACACATATTTACTCTCTGTTTCAAACTTTTTATTCTTATGCGAAGTTACATTTCTGCATTTATTTGCTTTCTAAAAATGATAAGAAATGAACTTTAATGTAATACACACTTAATTTCATACATACCGAGATTTACACTCTGAACCGAGTACTATCGTTCGTTGTCACAGTCCTTCCTTCCAATCTTTGAAATGAGTCGGTCAGTAAGGAAAAAAAATCAGTATGGATGAAATTAAACCATCATTCCATGAAAAGTGCTTGAACGATTTTCATTCACTCGTTGCGATGCATCAAAAACACTCATTCGCTGCGCTCACTGGTTCATCACAACTCGTTAATATAAAAGTCGTTCGTGCGCACTTTTCATGGAGTAATCTCTATCTACGGGAAAGGTTACGTTTATCATTACTTTAGCTTCATTTCGAGAAACGAACTTAAGTTAATCTTATTCATTTCCTTGGGAAGTTTCAGTATCTGCCACTGAGCATGCGCAGTCTCGGGTAAATATCATCATAATTATACTGAGCCCTCAGTTTTTCGTTCCAGAAACGTTGCTACGCAACATGACGTGATATTATAATATGATACTCGCGTTTTAGGTCTGAATGAAAAAAATTGGGGCTCCATGAATTTTTGCCAACAAAATTTGTTTTGCTGACTGCTTGGTCCTCTTTCTTAGCACTAACAATCCAGCCATTCCATTTAAGATCTAAATTATTTAAGTGCTAAGCGTACACTACGTCTCGATTAACAACAGGGAATTGTTCCCTCGATAATGTCACCTTTTATGGAGGTGAGAATCCGAAATGTCTAAGCTCTTCAAATACAAGGAGGCACGACTCTTAACACTATAAATTCTGTACTTATTTGATTTCCAAAGATAACAACATTTTGCTGATAAACCACTCGCCTAATCTATACAGCGATAGTTTAATTTCATGTAATTGCGATTATCATGTTGAAATTTAACAGGTTTGATTCCAAATGCAAGAGGACAATTTCACAAATAAAATCGTGAAATACATCGGAAACCAGAGAGAATGGCGAATAACTAGAGTTTGTATGAGATTTCAAAATTGTTTAAGTATGCAATTGTTGAGGAACTCAAATATTTTCCAGCAAAATGTTATCTTTGACTAAGTTTAATCAGCACAAGGGGATTTTTCTTCACACTAGCTAAACGCAGGGATTGACACAGTGATAAAATAAGTTAACTACAAACAATAGAAAAACAATTCTCAACTAACACCTTGTGATTGCCTTAAATAAGAAATATCACCTCTCTTCAAAATGCCGATTGGAAGTGTAAACCATGCGACTAGTACAGCTTCAACTGAGCGTATAAAGGGCCCGCGCAGATTCGATATATTTTTTAATCGACATTAACTTGACATTTGAATGAAGTTAGTTATTACTTCCAGTACATTCACAATTACTTATTGTGCTGCTAGCATGTCTGGCCAGCCTTTACATCATGTTCAAAATTCAGTTTAGACCCACCATCAGATTCCTTTTTGTCCTTTTACAATGGCACTTTTACTAAATGTAAACCCAAATGTTAAGTGTTACAGGAAGAGGACAGGCACTTAGCCAAAGCCCTATAATGAGAAATACATTTCGCCAGATTATCAAAAGAAATTTACGAAATACTTTTTCTCAATTTTTCCTTTTTTGGTCTTTTTTCGATTCACAGAATAGGCGCGTGACACTTCCGCCAGAATTTTGTCTCAAATATCGCGCGGAAATTTGAACTTCCCGCTGACAGAATTCCTTCGAAGAAAGTAAAGTAACCTTGGATTCTTGTTGTTTTACAAATAAAACATTGAAAATGTACTGAGACTTAAGGAGGGGGTTATATCCTTGAATTAGGCTAATTAAGTTTAATACGGTGGGATACACTCTATGATTTGTAAAAATTATCACCAGCAATAGCTGAGATTAAGGAAAACTTTTGATACATCAGGGCCCAGTTGTGTAAAGGGCAGATAACACTATCCAACGGATAAATAGCTCTCCAACGGATAAGTGATGGCAAAACGTATAGCATTATCTACCGGATAGAGTTTTATCCAATGGATAGCGCTATCCAACCTTAGAAAAACAGGGGCCAGAGCTATAAAAAAAGCGTGACACTCTAAAAGAGATACAACTCCATACGTCACATCTACTTATACGATAAGTCTGTGGCTAACTGATGATGCAAGCCCTGAGAAGAAAAAAACCGTTTAGAATCTCGACGGAGATTATAGTCTTCGCTGCAAACTGCGAAAAATGTAACGTTTTAAACCCAACAAGGTTTGCTTGGTTTGAGAAGCAAGGCAACTTCCCTTTGCAGTGGGTAGTTGGCAGTTTTCTGAAGTTTCGGCTAGTAAAGCAAACAAAATATTCAAAGAGAATGACATTAACCCTAAGCCTACACTTTTCGTTTTGTTTATTCTGAGATCCTCCACGGAAAATAATTGACATTCATCTAACTTAACACAACTTTCAGACGCTATTCTGAGGAGGTCCTGCGCCATTCGAGAAATGAAACACTTCATACCCCTCCAAAAACAGGTAACAACGTGTTTTGGATAGAAATTTTCTAGTCGTCGCCCTCGCGACTGCTTGAGGTCCTGAATTAATCATTGAGCTCCCGAAAAACCGCCAGTTGCGCCGACTGCTGTATCTTTGCATTGCACCGCCCATACAATTGGAGATTTAAATATTGCCAACAACTACTGAGCTGAAAACTTTGTCACAACACACATCACAGGTAATTAAGTACAAAAAAAGTAAAGGAATTAAAATTTTAACAGTATGCGAAACCCATTTGCTTTCATGGGTCTGCGGAAAATTTTGCAAAATTTACAACTGTACATATGGGTTATGTCAAGTGGTGTATAAGGAATCAGGAAGGTTTGCCCTCGGCTGATGAAAAAATCAGATCTGAATAGAAATATGTATCGCAATCATTCAGTCCCTAACATTAACTTGTATTTGTCGGGGGAGCAAGTTCCTCTTCGATAACTTGAAAAGTTGCTAAGCAACAAACTAACCTTCAACAAAACGGTGCCAGTCTCGCGTAAGAATCCGAGAGATATTTTCATAAGGAAATATAAAATCCGAACCGTGTTCCGATTCCAAAAAGATGAGTTAACGAGAGCAACACTTGTTCTCCCGACTAACGTCGATTATGTATCGCTATGGACTCTTATATACCTTGAATACTGATACAAAGCACAGAACTACTGGAAATTTATGAGACAAATATCCTGATGCGTTGTACGACAGGGTTACGGCACATTGGACAGCTAGTTATCGAGCTGGAGCAGTTGAAACAGCAACAAACGTGACCACAATTCAGCAACACTACGTCCGACTGTAAAGAAAGAAAGAAAGAAAGAAAAAAACATGTCACCGAAATAACGAAGAAGAAATACCAGCGCCAAGGGTGAGAAAACGCAGGTCCACCGAGGGACTGGTCAATATTCAACACGGGGGAGGAGGGTTCAGGGGGAAAGGAAATGAATCATATGAGCTGTCTCTAACAAAGTTTTAAGGGGGGGGGGGACTTTGGAAAAATGATTGCCGATGAGGAGGATCATCCGAATGCAACAGAGCCTTATAGGGGGATAACGTAATTTTCAGCGTGACACAAAAAAAATCCGCTGACTCCCCCCCCCCTCCCCCACAGTTCCGACCAGGAGCTAACGATCGAAACGCCAGCTTTTGTAAATTCCGCCTCTGAAGTGAATAGTTTCCTTTTCATGAAAATCAAAATGTTCGAACTGTCTGCCAACGCAGCTAAAACATTGCCTTAGAGTGAATGAGAAGTGAGGAGTCGAATTGTAGATAGAAATTCCCATGTTTATCACGACCAGGCCCCGGTTGTTCAAAGGATGGATAACGCTATACACTGGATAACACTTATCGGCTGGACAGCGATTTATCCGTTGGATAGCGCTATCCGCCCTTTGAACAACCAGAGCCTGAACTTTTTCTCCATCTCCACATCCCAGGTCTGAGGCGTCATGCAAGGTAACGTAAGGTGAGTATATACTTACTTTCTGGTCCATGCAAATCACGCATTCCGTTGTCATGTCACGGTGTTCAACTATGGGTGCCACTGGTGTGGTGGACATAGATGGCTGAGGGACTGGTACCTGTAAGGCACAAACATTTCATGACGGTTACATAACCGACAAGACTAACAGTGCTACCAGGCAGTGAGATCATTCAAAGCGCTACAAAAAGTATTTACACAATATGTAATTGTGCCGGGTGAGGATAAAACGCGAAGCATTTTCTCAGATGGGCAATCGAGTCCATAAACCACGTTCATGTAAAAGAGAAGCCTCCACTTTGGAAACGCTTCCACAACTCGAAATTACTCTGAGGTAGGCGGGGAAGGCCGGAGGGGGGGGGGGAAGGTTCAGTGAGAAAAAGAGAGAAAGGGAGTAGAGGGAAGGAAAAGAGGCCGAGTAGCGTCGATCATCGTCTCGCGACCACATGTCATGTAAAACTCACCTCAGGGTTTTCAATTTTGCTTTCTTTTTCCTTCGCTTTCGAATCGAAGCGAAGCCGTTCTTGGACAACGTTCAGGATTGCCTTCCGAACTCCAAGCTCGTGTATACCCAACTAATCAAAACAAAACAAAGCGTTTCGATATATCATGAATCTTAATTAGTCACGATTGAAGAGGGAAGAGGAAAAATGCGCCAGCAAAAGGCGGGGGTTGGTTGGGAGGGGGGGGGTATGGGATATATCTTATTGCAAATCTCGTGAGAACTAGTCGCACAAGACCTCGAAGCACCTTTCTGACCTTCATTGAAGAGAGGAACACGCTGGCAAATTACTGCTTCAGCCTGTCCTGGTGTCATTGATATGAAGCACGATACATAGTGCTACTGTTGGGCGAGAAGCCATATTATCACATGTTACTATCTAGTGAACCACTGAAACTCCTGGCTGACGATTGCCACTGCGAGAGTAAAGTGTCTCGCTCAAGAACACAACACAACACATTGGTTCAGCCAAGCCTCGATATGGAGTCTCCTACACTCTAACCAATCACAGCTCCTTAACATAATCAAAACAACACCAGACAGCAAATGGAAACTTCTTCACTTACCTCCTTCAGTTCTTGGTCTGTTATGGTTTTAAGCATTTCCCACGTGATTCGGTGACGGGCGAAGTGTGAGGCGTAGTCTTGGGCTTCAGCTTCAGCGAGGATATCGGAAATAACACCGTCACACTGCTGTCATTTAAAAGAAAAAATTCTTGACGCTTTTACTTTCACTGGAACCTTTTTTCCAAATAGCCGCAATTCGAGAGACTATTAGAAACTAAAAGAGTATTTCAGGAAATTCTATAAATTTGAAGGCAGTCAAGACCATTCAACGTTTGATACACCGTATTCAATCGAACTCGAATAGGCGCCCGGTAAAAAATTTAATCAGCGTCCACTTCAAATAAGCGCCAGCTCTCAAGGTCTGAAAATTTAAGAAGTGCCCACGGGGCTTAATCAATAAATACGGCATCAATATTTCAATACAATAGTCCTTTTTACAGTTGTGGGCTTGGTGGCCAAGTCTTTGAACAGGAGTGAGGCTAAGGGTGACCTTGTTATGATACAGATGTTGCTGCTTTTCAAATGCAAATTTCTTTGTTATCATGCTAACTAGATACTGGTCTCTATCACAACAATGTCACCCTCAGCCTCACTTCAAATCAAAGGCTTGGCAACTCAGTACACAACTGTAAAATGGTCTATTAACAGGCTGTTATTACCTTCGCAAGCAGGGTATCTGGTTTACTCTCAAGGAGCCTTTGATACTGAATCAGCCAGTAATCCTCAATACCAGTTTCTCTTTTATGTTCCATCTCAACCTGATCAAGAAAAGCACAGAGGTTCTATTAAGGAGTCTAACGTACACAGATAAGAGGTGACTTATCACTGATCACCCGCTAAGAGAGATCACAGGCCAAAACCGTAGAAGAAGTTGGATGGACCGCTTAGGAAAAGGTCAGAGAGGAACATGGATGCCCCAGTTAGCCCAATGGATAGTGCGCATGACTGTTGTGCGGGAGGTCGAGGGTTCGAGCCCCAGCCGGACCAACACGAATTTGCTACCTTTCTGTAACATCAAGAAATGGTTAGATATTCTAGTCTTCTCGGATAGGGACGAATAAATGGAGGTCCCGTCTCCTGCAGGGTTGGGGTAGGAGACGTTAATTTCCCACACACGAGATTACTGTGTGATGGATGTCCTCCCCTGGGGTGGGATGGTGGGTTTGTTGTGAAGGCCGTAAGTTAGATAACTCATTGGGTTAATTACGTCACCTTCGTTAAATAAAGAATATTGCATTGTATTGTATTGTAGAAAATAGGACAATTGAGTCTAACCTTGAAGTATATCAGCCCGATTTTCTCAAGGTCAATTTTGAAATGTATGAGACTTAAGTATAATCATGTAGGCCCTTTGAAACCATCTTTGCTTGTTTAGACCAAAGTATTTACCCTTTAAACTTTCGGAGTGACCAGCCTCAAATCTCACCTTCATGTCATACTAAAGAATCATTCATTTATGACCATGAGAATCAAGCAAATGATCGCCAAACTAGCAAGCTTCGATTGTTAAACGAATCGTCGTTGAGGAAATGTTTAGAGAGGAGCATGGAGAAAATGGATAGTGCTGTTAGGGCATAAAGGGTTCACGAAATTAAACAAATTTACTTAAAATACCACTAAATTTCAAATTGTAAATCAGTCTCTGGCTTAATTCCTTACTTATAGCGATATAAAAAAACTTACAAGTCTCTTCATGAGGTCATCTTCTCTCTTCTGTTGTTCGCCCACAAGCTGAACCATCAGTCCTGTCAAAGCTTCTCTCCTCGACTCCAGCGCAGCCTGAATGACAACAACGAAAAAGTTAACAAAGTGTCATCAAACGATACCGCACTCTTCGTATATTAACAAGTTCTACAGCAAAAAGAAAACTGCTACTCTAGCTTGGGCCAGTTATGATTCCAGAGAATAAAAGTGGAGATGTCTGTGCACAAAATCACTTGCACAGGAAATTCAGCGTGCCTCAGTGTCTCGCCTGTCAAATCACAAGCAAACGTCTCTCAACTGCAACTGTTCGGCAGACGGTCAGCCACTTTTATTCCTCATCTGTGGAAATACACACCTTTTAACTTTTTGTTTTCATACCCGACGTGTATGAGTTTACGTTTTCCAAACGATCTATTTTCGCAGTGCGGCGAGGTACTGTCGACAATAGCGTGTCTGACACTCAAAGTTTTCATCATAGAGAGGGGAGAGAATTTGGTAGAGAAAACAAAGAGAGAGAGAAAAATAACAAAGTAAAAAGAACCAATTGAGGCCGTAATTAAAAGTAGAAAAGGAAACAACGTTCCCCGAATTTACAGTGTCTTATACCCACTGTACCTGAAGAAAAATTACGAAGTAGTTAAACCGACATACCCTCTCTACTTCTTGTCGTTCATCTTTTTTCTCCAGTTCTGTAAGGGTCAATTTCACGAGCTCGTCTTGCAGCATTGAAATCTGAAGTTGAATTGAAGAATTTCGCGTGTAAGGTAGAGAAATATTTAAAAAAATACTATAAACTTTCAAATCAATGCAAAACTTTGTGATATATTCAGCAACACCACAAGGAAAACCAGCATGAAGTGAAAATACGAAAAGAGTGAACCTTAATTGCCAGAGTAATTCGAACGAAGACATTGAAGAGTGAACCATAAGTGCAGGAGTAAAACGAACGGAGACATTATAATTCCACGAGAATTTAACCACTGCAAGATGAATACGTTACCTATACTACTTTGGGCGTTGAGCAATTAAACAGTTTTCCAGGTGGACATGGGCATGTTTTGATGCTACTCTTGTTTTTAGGATTCAATGAATGTAACCGGGGAATTACAATTCATAGACTCGGCGTTTCGACACTCCTGTCTAGTGCCTTCCTCAGGGGTGCTCTAATCGTTGCAACAATAGGTCCTTTTATATCAAATCTGATTTAAAAAAAATTTAAACGACCTCTTTACCTGGCCGGTAATTCTACGATGTTTAGCGTCCGTTTGTAGCTGGAGAGCTTGGATCGCTTCCATTTGAGCGCGTTCCTTAAATAAAAAAAATGATACATTTACAGTTCCTCTATTACCAAAGTCCTAAACAGCGCAAAAAGGAATGCGAGGTAAATCTGAGCGGCGAAGTCACTGTTTTACTAGATATCCCATCCCTTGCGGTCGCTGACCATTATACCCGCAGTAGCGTGTAAATTTCGCGGAATGATCACGCCCGAGCAAATTGGAGAACACGAAGTCATGTAAAATGTGTTGTTCTTACGTTGCAAACGAGTATTTTATTTATTGGACTCATCATCACTTCTACACCAAATGAAACTAAAGGATCTGAAATACAAGATCTAACTTAATATCTAACCTCTTTGGAAATCTCAGAGATCAAAGTATCTCTGTCATCGTGCTGTTCATTGAGAATGCCAAGCAACCGTACATCTTCTTCCAAAGCCCTGTGGTAGAAAAAGACTCTCAAACGAGACATCTAAACAGAATACCGACGCAATAATCATCAGTTAGTCATAATACCCCCATGAAAAGATTATCAAGCGTTATAATCTCTTGATAATATTTTATTATTTCCTTGTTTCTTTCAGCTCAATAACCTGGGCCAAGTTGTATAAAGGGCGGATAACGCGATTCGACTGATAAATTGCTACCCAGCAGATAAGTGAGAGCAAAACGTGCTGCGCCTGCGCTATCCGCTGGATAAAGATTTAGGCGGTGAATAGCGTTATCCAACCTTCGAACAACCGGGCCTTGGTGCATACATGTCAGGTGCTTTTTTAAAATAGGGTAATTATACCAGTTGTGGCATGATCCCTTTTCATGACCCCTGATTATACAGCTATACATAGATACAGAGCAAAAGATCATTTGGTTTTATCAAATGAGTTGAAAACGTAAATTGGCGAGTGCTTCGCTCTGACGAAGGGCTAACGCTCGAAATATCAGGTTTAGAAACTCACTTACGATGGCCAATTTACATTATTTATCAACTCAGTTGATTAAAACGACGCAGCATCCCAGTTTAGTTTAGAAACTTACCCCTTTTAAACTTAAATACAGCTCTTTCTAATGGAGTGGTGCCTATTAATAGACTGATTCAAATGATGAAGTAGCTAAAATAGTTTTGCGCAATTCCCCAACTACAATGTGAGTAAAAAAAAAAGCAGCATTCACACTGGAAATAAAACTGAAAATGAATTTCTTACTCATTCATGGCTTCACTAGCAGTTCTATCTCTTGTTCGTTCATATTCTCTAATGAGACGACTTTGACTTTCTTGACTTTCTAAAAGACGAGCCATGGACACTGGTGGAAATAAAAGGGGAAATTGAAAATCTGTTGCATTACGACGGAAATTGCGTTTAAAATCTCATTTTAATAAGAGTAAGAAAAACTTTGAATGAAAAATGCTACAAAATAGCGAGTAAAACTCCGTGAAATGACTTCAGTCAATCATTGGCCATGAAGTGACAACAACAACAAAAAAATCGGAATTCTCTACGGGGAAAAGTAGAAAAAGAACTTGCAAAGCGATACCAGTAAGCAAAATAATGAATGGCTTAAAATGACAGGGTTTATCCCTAAATCATTTCCATCAATAGAAGATCTTAATGGGGATAACCATCAACAATACACGGCCAACAATAGAGTCATTAGGTGTAAAAACTGACAAATTTTAACAGCTAGTCGTAAAAAAAAAGTTAACCGTGAAAAATATGTCCTTTCTTCAAGCGTCATTTTGAGTCATTTTTGGTTAACCAAAGCCGTAGAAAATGACCAAAATTTTAACAGTTAGCCGTAAAAGCCATCACCCCATTGAGACCCTCTCAATACGGTTCCACAAAAAAAGAAATCTATCAAATTTTATGAGGAAAAAAATCATTACAATGCCCGTGTTTCTTCGATGAAGGAGCCTATCAATCGGTATTTAGTCACAGAGATCGTTATTGATTCTGACCAACCTAACACCTCCTCTTTTCTCAGTTTCTCGGTTTCTTCCTGGGTCACCTTCACCAGTTGCTCAGTTCTCATTCTGCACAGAAAAAGAAAAAGAACAAAATGCGTTTAACCGACTAAACTCCACCAACCAATGGACCCTTCTAACCATACGACAGCTATTCTCAATTCTTAGAGAACACAACAAAAAAAACTCCCACCTTTCTTTTTCCATCTCATCCAGAATCATTTCCGCCTTGTGAGCTCTAGAGTTGAACAGTCAAAAGTAAATAACAGTGTTTTTCTGGTCACTCACACGTATCAGTTTTCAAAAGGATGTAAAACTACTAACATATAGAATAGGTAAAGATTGCAGGGGGTCTGACACTAATAATCAGTGTTGACCCTTCATCATCATCATCATCTTTATTTCCCTTATTTTAACAATAAAAAATATTTAATTACAGCGATAACAGTTAGAAGGCGAGGAGACCCAAGAAGCCACCAGGCTTATGGGAGAGCCACCTCACTTACAATAATAAATCAAGTAAAGAAAAAGTGCCGCGAGTGTGCGGCTTGGCCAATTCAGTGGTTATTTAAGTAAAAAGTAAAAACTCGACTTGCAATTTCGTTTTAAAGCTGAGAAAGTTTGACGAACGAGTGAATGAAATAGGGAGAGAGTTCCAAATTTTAGGACCTTGGTAGAGAATTGTAAATTGCTTGAGATTTGTACGGCACAAAATAGGTTCGATAATTACTGGCTGTTCTGGTACCATAGTTGTGAATTTGGCTATTCCTTACAAAAAGATCGAGAAGCAATGGGGGCAATAAGTTATTTTTGAAATAAAACAAAATTGAAGACCTTTCGCTGATTAGCATTGCTCTGAAGCACCTCAAGGCCTCTACCTTTCTCGCGGGCGAAGAAAAGCTCTTACTGAAGCGCTAATTTTAATAAGTGCCTGCTCCAGAGCAGTGACAACATGGCCCTTGATGTAAGGTATAAATGATGCCGCACGCACGCTGTACTGTGTGTACGAATAATGAGATTAACGATACGAGAAAAGAAAGAAAAACAGAACATTACCGTTCATTCTCTTGCAAAATCATTGCCACTGTATCATTAGTAAGCTGTTCATCTGCAAGATAAATATTGGAAATTCACTAAAAAAGTAACAATGATGGATATAGCTGGAAGAGGACTAACAATAAAGCAGAAGTAAAAATGCAACAATGAGGCAGAGTAATGATTTTTGTTGTTGTTTTGTATTGCTTTGTTGTTATTGTTGTTGTTTTCTTTTTTGTCAGCTGTATAGGTTCTACCATATAAATTCCTCTCCCATATGAAAGACAACCAACAGCTCAATGGTACTGCAAAAAAAAACAAGATCACCTGAACTGATTATTTAGCTACAGTGTAAGTCTTCTGACTGGTGACTACCAAGTCGCCAGTTTATTGTGTGTTCCATTGCAGTCCGCACACACAATAAACCACACCTCACTTTAACACACACAGTACCTGCTGCCATTGCTGACACCAGCTTTTTTCTCTCAACTTCTTGTTGCTGCTGCTGCATCAATGTAAGGTCATCCATTTCTGCTTCAGCCTACAAATATATTTTTAGTACATGAGAAACTGCTAATACTACTCTCTGCCTCACATATTTTTCAGAATTCATTTTAACACAAAGCAAATGGCAACAAAGCTGCCGCCGCCAAAAATTTAAATTTGGACATTTCTCTCAATTTGCCAAATTTAAAGATACTAGATCCTGAGTCCTCCAATTTATCATCTGCAGTCATGAGATAGTCACAGATAAATAACTTACATTTGAGCAGTACTGTCCTAAAGCTTGGAAGCTACACATGTAGGTAATAAATACCTTTTCACATACATACAATTGATAGACAAGACTGGCCGACTGCCATGACCTGATGTTTATCACAAAGCTAAAAACACTATACATGCACATTGAGCACAATAGGCCTTTTGCAGCTAAGCCATTACGCGACCTACTTTTCATGAAATTATGGGCTGTAACTTAGCCGAATTCAGAAAAGGAAAAAGCATTTCGAAAATAACAAAATGGCTAAGTTTGAGGCCTCCATTTTTCAAAAATGAGATTTGATGACACTCTGAATTTTTTAATAAATAAGAAGGTTTAAATAGAAAAAGTTGCTGGAGAGCAAGGCCTTGCTCTCCAGCAACATTTTCCATACAAATCCTCTAAATTTTCCGAAAGTTCAAACCACTGTAAAAGCAGTGCTCTGTAATTCCCGGGGCCCAAACTTGGCCATTTTGGTATTTTCGATATGCTCTTTCCATCTCTGGTATTCTTCAAGTTGTATCCCATAATATAAATTATATCTAAAATTGATCACGTGACCCCAGCTGCAAAAGGCCTATTGAGAAATGTACAATTGGCAAGTCTAATAGCTACTTTTCAGTAGCACTGTCCTGAAATCTTTCAAGAGGGTGGGATGAGGAGGCCAACAGAGGCCCACACATCAGAGAAAATTGCTTAGTTAAAGTCATATGATTCTTAAAGACCATAGCAGTGATTTAGAGAAAAATTGTTCCTTTTTTCCCTCTGCAAATGGAAAATATAACAGTCTATGATTACCATTCGTATCTTGTCCACAAGGTCAGTACGGTGTTTATTGGCAGCTGCAGCCAAGGCCTGCTGCTCCAGATCTATTTCATGAAGCTGTTTCTCTATTTCAATCATCTGTTGTCTTCTCTTTTCCTGTGGATCAAGATTTAATGAGGTTAGAATTAACTTTCACAAGTAAAAATGTTATTTAACATTGGCTCTTAAACTCTGACTGAGTAGAAGGCTCTGAGTAGTGACTTGGGAGAATCATGGCAACTCTGCAAAGTACTTGATGGGTGTCTTGATCGGGTGAAACCTTCACCACTGTTTTCAAGTTCAAAAATTAAACATTGGACCATCTTCAGGTTCATACTTATCAATGAGTTGAACATGAATGATACTTGTGAGAAACATGTACTGTTTTAACTGTTCTTGTCAGATAAATGAAATGCAAAACAAGATTGAAATAAACCAAAAACAAAACAAGGAAAAGTAACAACAAAAATGGTCAATGGAAATAAAAAAAAGTGACATGCAAACCTTCTCTGCCTCATGCTTTGATAAAGTGCTCTGAAAACAAAAATGTCCGTGTGTGAAATGATGAGAAAGTGTTGTGAAAATGGTGAAATGTTACATGGTAATCATGCAGTGACATTGTCAATGTCAAGAGCCAAAGTAACTGTTATAAAATAATGTATCACAATCAAGAGATTGATAAACACTAAAAAAAAAAAAAAGAAATAATCATTGTGGAATTCTGTTTATGTATCACAGACAGTCATTTTACCATTAATAATCTTAGCCCCCAAGCCATGCCTACCCTAAAATGAAGTTGTGCAATATTTTCAGACCAAAATTAATGCAAAGTAAGTTCTCTATCCTCAGAAAAAATGATTAAGTTATCTTGGAGGGTGCTGGTTATATTCAATTTGATTACTTGAAGAAACTTGGCTACTCACTGCCACAAGATCATCCACTGGTGAAGGGCACAATTGTGTATTTGAAGCTGTTCCATTTCCTATTGGATCAGAAATTAAAGAGAATGAAACAAGACTTAAAATCTGCAACATCAAAAAAACCCTTGCACCATCTGATGTTAATTTACTTTCATGCAAAAAAAAAATTAATTCACTGGGCAATCATGTAAGTGTCAATACTTATCATTTGAGTTAAATTAAATTTAACTGATTAATAAAATTAGAGCAGTTTTCAAATGAGTGTCACAGGTAATCCTGGATTGCTTTATTTTTGCTTTACTTCACTCTGTGATTGGTCTAGAAATCTGCAAAACTAAAATCAATCAGCACTAGCTTCAGGCAATTTGATCAGTTTTACTTTCACTGAGTTCTCATTGGCTCTTAGAGGTATTTTTCCTTCTTCTGATTGGCCCTTGTTGCTATTTTGGTTTTGTTGTATGACACTCAATCAAAAAACGCTCTACTGTGCAACTACAGCATACCCAGCACATTCAGTAGATGCTTGGATGGAGGGACATACTCAATTTCAGCCACTGACAAAAAAGAAACAGAAAACACCAAATTAATCATCATTAATTTAGTCATCATGATGACTAGATTCATCATAAGATGACAATCATATACAATTTGACATCAATAAACAATACACTGGTCATATGAAGAAAGTGCACATTTTGGTATGTATGATATTAAGTCTTATTTATAAAAATCGCTACCTTTGCAAAGATATTTCATAATGGAGGCTGTTCCCTCAGCTGCCACATCTGTGAAAATGAACAGATCATCACATGACTCATGCAAACATTTTAGCTCCTGATCTGTGCAAATAATTACTGCAAAAATCTCTAAGAAATAAATAATAAATATAGATTACCTCTGGGTGGAAATGATACCGTGTTTACATCAAGTATAATAGTCTGAAAAAGAAAGAGATATTAATAATATTTTATTTGTGGTAGTCCTGATAAGGTCTGTCCATGGTACATTCAATATTAAGGACTCTAATTGATTACAAAACATGAATATGAGACTAATGGAACACTACGAAGTCGTAATATTAGAATGAACTGCACAACATTAGTCCACCATTGGAATTGATTTCTAAAGCCAGGTATTGGAAGACTACATGTCAATAGTCTAAGAATAAATTACAAAATGTTCAATGGACAATTAAATATCTTTAGCCTTATCTCACCTCCAAAGTTCTCACACGAGCCAAAGTCGGGGGAACCCCAGGCAAGTTGCTGTTTTCAGAAACATTCAGCGTTCTCAAGCTTTTGAGATTTCCTATTTCAGGTGGGAGCTTGCGAAGGTCATTTGCTGTAAATAACAACAACAACAAAGTCTTCCACAAACTTTTTTTTACTTGAGATGAGAAGAATTTGACTGAATACTAGTGGAATTAGATACAGTGCAGTACCTTGAAGGATTAAACTTTGAAGAGATGCTAAATTTCCAATGCTGGTAGGAAGAGTTTTAAGTTTGTTACCTTGAACGTTTAGCACCTGTAAAATAGGAAAATAGTAATCAGACATAGGCAAAAGGATCCAAAATTACTATTTTGCTTGTGAAAAGTTTCCTGCCAGTGGGTGCTCATTTTTTTATCAAAGACTCAATTAATAAAATTCAATGTGAGCTCTATGCCTTGGGTATTTTTCAACAGTTGAAAGATCATCACTGTATGATTCATTGCAGTAAATAACAGACAGCCAATAACATTGCTCACAATAATTATGTCTAGGGCACAGTTTCCCACACCATGTGCGTTGCTTGAGGTTTTTGCTGGATTCAGTTTTGAGCGATGGATTTTAAAGTGCATATGACAAGTTTTTTTTTTCGATGAATTTTCTTAGTTTATAGTCTTTGGTTCACACCTGAAATATTTAGATTTGTTCTGTAAAGAAATTTAATATACTTTTTTCCCTTCAAAACTGCGCTAGTTTCGGC